CCAAGTACGGATCCTTGAGGAACTCCACAAGTAATAGTACAGTGATCTGATTTCACATTATTCATCTGTACAAACTGTCTCCTGTTTTTCAAGTAACTACACACCCATTGTAAAGCTAAACCTCTGATACCATATTTGTATAATTTATCAAAAAGAATATTATGGTCAACAGTATCAAATGCCTTTTTCAAGTCAACAAACACACTTACACAATATTGTTTACGGTCAACCGCAGTAGTTACTTGTTCCATAAAGTCCATAAGCGCCATAGATGTTGAATTTTTTGTTCTAAAACCATATTGATTATTAGTTAGAATATTTTGTTTTTCAATAAATTGGTCCAGTCTGTTACTGAATAGTTTCTCCAAGATTTTAGAAAACTGTGGTAACAAGGATATCGGTCTGTAGTTATCAAACACACATTTGTCACCATTTTTAAAAAGAGGAAATACCTTAGCCACCTTCATTCTGTCTGGAAATACTCCCGTTGTAAAGGACAAATTACATATATGTGTAAATGGTTCAATTACATGACCCATTATGTTCTTTACGAATGTCATGTACATATCCATCCAATCCTTAGAGTTTTTGTTTACAAATTTATTGACTACATTCATTATTTCATCTTTATCAGTTCCCTTCAGGAACATACTGTCCAGATAATCATCAATTAAATAGTTCCCATATTAAATCCATTAACAATTACATTTTCATCATATATTGTCTCATTATTTATTGTAAAGTTCTGTGAAATGCCTGTTTTTCCTATATTTTTTTGTAGAACACTATTCACGACCCGCCATGTTGCCCTCGTATCCCCATTACTTTTATTCCATAAGTCACTATAATATTCTTTCTTATGTTTTCTTATAATCCCAACTAATTTGTTTTTATATTTCTTATATTTCTCTTCTGCATCTTGTGTTCTGCATTTCAAGAAACATAAATACAAATAGTTTTTCTTCCTACAAGCATTTCTCAGTCCATTTGTCATCCACTGCTGGTCAACAACATTCTTCTTGGTGTAATTATTTAGTACACAATTTTTTTTATATAAAGTATCCAAGATATTCATAAACACATCATAAGATTTGTTTACATCATCAACATGGACACTATCCCAGTTTTGTACAGTTAAATCATTTTTCAAATTTTCCAAAGCTTGTTTGGATGTATTTATTTTTTTTTTCTAACTTACTGCAAAGCCATGAATATTTTAAGTTCTTTATACATATGTATTTTGTTGCTGTGTTTTGTCATGTTCTTTGCAGGTGAACAGACAGTGGCCGGGTGTTTTGCCGTGTGCTCTCTTTGTGTATATTTCTTATATTTTGGAGTCTTACTTTGTCTTTTCTTTCTTTCTATCCTATTATAAAAAAAATAAAAAAATAAAAAACCTACACTAGATAGTCACTAGAATAAATATTTCATAATAATGGTGTGGAGAGGATGGCTGTAAGGGGAGAAGGGAGGCCATCACAAAAAAATAAAAATAAATGAAATTTAAAAAATTTAAAAAAAATAGCACCTTCTCAGAGTGGATCAACCAGTTTGCTGCTGACAACCAAAACCAGCTGATCACATGCTCAAGAAGGACCATCAGCCTAACAATGGATCATTAGCATTATTATCATTATATATATATTATATTATATATATTATATATAATGATATATATATCATTTTGATCATTATCATTAGTCCCAGTGGCTTTTAAACCCCAAAATACATTACGGCAAAGACTGGTTCATCCCAAAGATCCAGTCCCCCGGCACAAACAGAGCAATGTTGTGTATGCTGTTCAGTGTCAGGAGGGTGATCAGTCTTACATCGGGGAAACTAAACAGCCACTGGCCAAAAGGATGGACCAGCACAGAAGATCAACATCATCAGGCCAGGACTCTGAGGTCTACACTCATCTCCAGGCCAGCGGTCACTCTTTCAGGGATGAAGATGTTCACATCCTGGATAGAGAGGAACTATGGTTTGAGAGAGGAGTAAAGGAGGCCATCTTTGTGAAAAGAAACCGTCCATCATTAAACAGGGGTGGAGCCTCCAGGTTCAACTGTCCCCCTCTTACAATGCTGTGATTGCTAGTATCACTCAGCCCTCTGTGAACAGTAAACAGCCATCAGGTGCTAATGATCCATTGTTAGGCTGATGGTCCTTCTTGAGCATGTGATCAGCTGGTTCTGGTTGTCAGCAGCAAACTGGTTGATCCACTCTGAGAAGGTGCTATTTAAGAGACTGAGCTGAAAACAGCACCTCAGACTGAGGAAGTCCTCAGGATGAGAGACAAAACGTTTCTACATTTTTTGTTGTTTTGCTTTGTTTTGTTTTTTTGAATGTCCAGAGGACCAGATTGAACTTTTTTAGATGAACTAAACATGATACACCCTGACAAAATCATGGCACAAATTTATGGCACAACACCAACAAACTGAATTTAGACACTCACCAGAATGTCTGGAACAAACTAGCAGGTATCTTGGGACGCTGGAGAAAGTTTTCAGGACGTCTCGCGTCTCCTTTTTGTTACGTCCTACACATGAGCTCCCTCGCGTTGTTTCCTGGCAGAGAATCTATTTTAAAAAATCAGTTTTCGATCTTTTTACAATTCTTTTTACATTAATTTTGACATTATCATTATCTCATGATAATGATAATCTCATTATCATTATTACATTATCTTTTTACATTACATCCAATAACGTAGCAATTTCAGACCATGGCTAAACTGTTTTAACCTAATTAGATCTTTTTTTTTTAAGTCAACGAGAAAGCTTGTTTTCGACAGTTAATATTGAGGACAGTAAGCATGATGGATCCGGCCCCATCCTATCCCATCAGTCATCGCGCCGCGGACACAGTGATGTCACGCTCTAAAGCTCTATTGGTCCAGATCAAGCGATCCTCCATTTTCAGCAGCTTCTCTGAAAACCTGCCAGTCTGTTCGTTCAAAACAATCTCTCAGTATGAGGCCAGTGTCCTGGATTCAACATTTAACTTTCCTTTGTACCGGTCTGAAGCATCTCAGAGCTATGTGCAGGCCAGTAAAGTTCTTCCACACCAAACTCGTCAAACTATGTCTCACTATTCCTTGCTTTGCGCACTGAGGCAGAACCATGTGGGAAGAGAAAGGGACATTCTTAAAATATTGCCACAAAGTTGGAAGTACAACTTCACCCAAACTGTCTTGGTATGTTGAAGCGTTAATACTACCACCTCTGGATTTAAGGAACCTAGATCGAACACTGACTGAAACTCCTAGTTCATAAATGAACAGATGAGACTGAGCACGTTTGGTCAAATATGTGTTGTTAATATATTTTTCTTTTATTAAACCTACTGTTGTGCATGCTTTGAACTCAACCTTCTTGAATTGTCATTTACAGCAAAAGCTGTAGGGCAAAAACCTATTACAAGCATAATTAAAGCTGCAAGCAGCATTGGAGGCCCTCGCAACAAAGCACCGCTCCGGCCTTACGGCGACCGCGGGAGCTTCAGCTAGTCCACCCAGTCGCCATTTTGAACGCTCTCGTGCTAATCCCACACGCGTTCACCGTGGGGTGCATTTCCCGAATCTTCGACATCGCCTTCTGTCCACGTTGTTACTTGTCCAGCTGCAGGTCTTACAAGTATAGGCGAAATCTGACCGTCCAGACAGGAGTTATGTTGAATTCCTGTTTTGTGGTGAATGTTTGACAAGCATTTCCTTTATGCTTTTCAATATGTCATGTGTGGTAATGAACAGTTAGCGAACAATGTTTCAGTCTATTATCTTACACAGTGCGAAGCTAGAATCCAATAATCAACAGTTTTTTATGAGTAGGTTGTGCTTAAGTGATGTTATGAATCAACAATATCAATGTGTCTAGACGTGGTCACTGATTATGCATAAAAAATATGGTTCAGATTGGATGATGTATCACTGAGATATAACTGTTGGAATAATCTAGGGGCACACTTGAGTCAAATGTTCAAGAACAATATCAATGTGCCTATAAGTGCTCACTGATCACACACATAAAATCTGGTACATATTGGATGATATTTCACTGAGATATAACTATTGGAATAATGTAGGGGCGCACTTGAGTCATATGTTGAACCACAATATCACTGTGTCTAGACGTGCTCACTGAATATGCATAAAAAATCTGGTTCCGATCAGATGTTGTAACACTGAGATATAACTGTTGGAATAATGTAGGGGTCGCACTGGAGTCAAAAGTTAAAATACAATACCAATGTGTCTAGTAGTGTTCACTAATGACACACACAAAATCTGGTTCAGATCAGATGATATATCACTGAGATGTAAGTTTTGGAATAATCTAGGGGGCGCACTCAAGTCAAATGTTAAATAACACAAATGTATACAGAAGTTCTCACTGATCATGCACAAAAAATCTGGTGCAGATCAGATATCTCTTTGAAATATAACAGTTTGAATAATCTAGGGGGTGAATTTAAGTCAAATATAAAACAGCAATTCCAATGCGTCTATAAATGCTCACAGATGATGCACCAAAAATCTGGTGCAGATAGGATGATGTATCATTGAGATATAACTGTAGGAATAATGTAGGTGGCGCTGTGGAGGCTATTGGCCCCTTATCATGGATACCTGTTCAAGGGGCGGATAATGATCGATCTTATGCCCCTTTTCCATTAGTACCGGTACGGGCCGGTACAGCCCGGCTCTACTCTACTCGGTACGGTACAGGTTGTGTTTCCATTATGCTTTCAGTACCGGTTCCAGTGGGCGGGGTTCAAATTGACGTCACCACCTCTCACCAGCTGGTGGCGCTGAGACGCAGAAACTGTTTTCTGTACAGGTTGAGAATTTATGTTATTTTGAAGTTGTGTGTATGTATGTATGCATGTATGTGTGTATGCATGTGTACATGTGTATAAATATATACATATATACACATATATATATATATATATATATATTTATACACACACACACAAATATATATGTACACACATATGTGTATATA